CTGTTGACCCTTAACTTTAATCTTCGGTCCTCAGCCCTAGCAATAATTGATATGGCCGTGACCATAAACTAAAGAACTCGACGCGCCGAGCCAAAATGGCGGGTGTGCAAAAACCGAACGCGCCAAAACCGGGTATGAACGGAGATAGTGTCGGGGCCCACTGGGCGCGGCGGTCGTAACTAATCGCTTCATCTCTGAACAGGTGACTAGAAAACTATGTCCATTTCTGTCGCGTTCATTGAAAAAACCTTACCCATGATGCGCCACAAGTGACATTATTGAAATCATTAATATTGAGCATGATCTTGAGTTAATAACAATTGTATTAAATTATAATTTAGGTATATAGATAATCGACAAATACGTAACTTAAATTATAAAGTGTGCAAGTAGCTGCCGATTAATGTTAAGTCTGCTTGAAAACTAATATCAGCTAGTTTGCAAAGAGATATAATTATAATAACCTCTAACTTATTTTTTCTATAATTTATTTCTTTTCACACAAAGTTACACAATATATTTATATAAACTATAATATGGACTGATCCACTCATGTGTGAAAAATGGAGCATAACATCACAATATTTTTCAATAAAAAAAAAATTTTGACACAGATATCAAGTGATCCGCTTCATCAACATCATCATCAGCCTTTTTACATCCCCACTGCAGGGGCTCAGGCCTTCTTTATTCCTTCCCTCCACGCTGGCCCAATGCGGATTGGAGGGCATTAACGACTGCAAATGCAGCTGGGACCAACGGCTGAACGTGCCTTCCGAAGCACGGAGTAGCTCGAGATAATAATTTTTTTGTCGCCCATCCCGTGACCGACCCTTACGAAAGTTGCTTAACGACAACAATCGCGGGCCGCGGCTCTTATCCACTACGCCACCGAGCTACTTGTGATCGCTTACCACTAGTGATCCGCTTACCAACCAAAAAACTGTTAATAATGTACATTTGATTTTTTCAATTAAGTATTTTAGGTTAAAAAAGAGCCGTTACTGCCACACTCCTTTATAAATTTCATGTCCCCATAATATCCAACTATCATTATACAAATAATTATAGAGCTAGTGTAACAACCGACAAATTTAAGTGTATAAAAAAATTACCCGCCCCTATCCTGTAAAAGATTTATTGCGTGTACATACATAGAACGGGAATCGAACCTCGTATTTCGGCGTCAACTTTCGAGGGGTCGTGCTCCGCATGGGCAATGATACATTGCCGGGGAAAAAAATATAATTGCTCTTCTACTTATGGTTCCAAATTCAATGGTATGATAATTCAACGCAGTAAAAAAAAATTGGTGTATTTATGTAGTTTAAAAAGAAGTACGTAGTACCCTAAAGAAAGCTGTGATTTAAAGCCAAGTGCTAAAACTATAGTTCGTCCTAGGCCAGACGAAAACCGGACAATGAAAAAGATATTGATTGAATGTTGAAATAAAATAATGGCATGATTTTTGTAAATGTCCTTTCTTCTGTTAGAGCTGATAAATTTCTTTCGTTTGTTCTTCTTATTACCCAAAATATAACCTGCACTGATGGTAAGTAAAATAAGAACGTTAGATGATTGAAAAGTATTTGTAAAAGTTTATTTGAATAAAGATAATTTTAACTTTTAAACGATAGGTGTCCTTTCCTATCCATAAAGCTTTGTAACATTTCTAAGAGGCACTGCGTTTTTATTTGTACGGTACGCTATGGGTCACTGACCCCACCCTGCACAACAATAGGTAGTACTCCGCGGAAACGATACAGCGATTTATAGATATGTATCGTTTACTTATAATATATAATATTTCGGTATATTGTCCGTTTTTCGCCTGCTCTAGGAGCAGAATATGTTCCAATCGCAGTTCTCTGTATTTAAAAAAATAAATTTTTGACATATCATCGTCTTCATCGTGCTCTATCCTACATTATGTTATTAAAATACGTAAGTCAGAGCAGGACAGACGACAAAAAACAGACAACAGATATGTAAACCTTCATCCTACGACTGTTCCAACTCATTGTACTTGCCCTTCATATCCTACTATTTAATAGTAACAGACCACACAAAACCACATTTTTTAATATTTTCCTTTACAGATGTCGATTTATTACGGACCCATAAAGCATAACTGGTCTTTATAGATTAATATCTTTAGTATCTTTTATCCATTTTTATTTCTATTCTAATCCCGACTCTAGTCTGTCTAACGCAAAGGCTAATTAATCTAGAAGTTTCTCACAAGCTTTATAAGTCAATTTTGCTATCGTGTGTACACTTTTTGTTGGTATTAATCAGATATATGCTTTGTAACGGCAACTTTCGTCTGAGCATCTCACTCACAATAGGTAAAGTCTACACAACTTATTTCAACACATTAGTGCCATGCAAAACTATAACCCGAGATTAATACACAACGATCACGCAACCTAGTGCAGCAGTGATGTTACGCTTATAACAGAACTGTGATTTAGGAACACCAATGTTTTTACGCAACATCGGTACAGTTTTATTGAAACAAGTGAGGATCGTAAGAATGGGAGAATAAATATTAAAAACAGCAAAAATATTATTTTTAGGAAACAAAATAAAAAACAATTTCCATATAAAAATATTGTAAACTTTGATTGCAATTTCAACATTTTTAATGATAGTAATTTTTAATGGCCTCATGTTGTTTCCATAATTTATAAATATTTTCTATTCGTAACTCTTTCAGTGTCGTCGCTACGCCACGAAAATAAAAAGTAGCAATTCTGTCCCACAAACTAGAATAAAATTATTTTAAATCCTATCTCAATTTATGTGATTCACATAAATTGATATATAGAAAATATCTCAATTTATGTGAATCACATTCTAATGTTAGTTTTGGATTATTAAAAAAAAATGTCTAATAATAAGACTAGCGCCATCTGATGGCAGTAAAATCTAATGAGTCTGTTATATTCCACATTAATTCCAGACGGCACTTAGCCAGCCTGTAAATAAAATTTTAAAGTTTAAATCAATAATAAATTAAATTATAACTTCCCGTAAGACGATCATCAGTTGACACGCCTAAACGAATCTAATTTACCACCCACGAATAAGTATCTATTACAAATACGATACCATAGTATAAAGTAAAGTGACTATAAATTATCAATTATGCCATAATTACTATTTTCATGACACGCTTACCACTATCGCCCATCCCTATCGTTTGCGGTATTAACATAATGGGTAGCAAAAAAGTTCAACTACTGTTTTATACTGTGGCCTTAGTATTTTTTTTTATTTACACAATTTTATAACGTAAAAAGTATCGTTATCATTATGCCGAGCTTCATGATCGCTCTTCCATGCAGTTATAGCACCCTTTGAAATTCTGAAGAGTTTTTAATGTTTTTGTCGATCTACAACATGACCTATTTTGCGCAGATAAGAAAGAAACCGCTTCATTTTTTCCTTTCCTAACATAAATTTCCTTTTAAACAAAAGTTTGTTTACGCTCAGGTGAATCTCGTATAAGATTACGTATTAACAATGAAAATTTTACAAAGTACGAGAATTAACACGATATTTATGTTATGATTACTGTTATTTACAGACATGAAAATTATGAGGCGTTGGCGGTTTCTCACTTCTGCAATATTTTGAAGCTTAAACATACCTTATCGCGTTAAAAATACGGTCGAAATCGATAACAGTCCTTCTGTTTAACTCAAAAAAAACAAATTTTAATTATCATAATGTTTTTATTTGGTTACTTTTATAGAATTTTATTACAATATACAGTTTTGTAATCACTATCGAATGCTGATCGGAAAGAGGCGTCGGTTAAATTGAAGCTCAGTTAATTGGTTTGTTTTTGTGATTTTATATTACACTATAGTATCAGTGCAGATTGGATTTTATGATACCAATAACACTTATGATGTAAAATAAAGTAGGTAGCTGTATTAGCAAAGATCCTACAGAAACGGTTTTACAATTGTAATTTTTTTATGTGACTAGAAGTCATTAAAAGTTACATTTTTTTAAGGTAACGTGAAAGGTTTTGCAGTAAAGTTTGCTGCGATCTGACGGTTCATTGAAATGTAGCGGGTATGATGAACTCTGGGTTGTACACGCGAGCGGGCGCAACACCTAGAACTGGTTCCCGCAACGTTTCAGAACCAGCTCTAGCCCCAACGTGTTAAACGTACCCCCCCCATTCTCGAAAACCAAAAAGATTATAGCGCAATACTAAAAAAGCATAGTTACAAATCAAAAAACACCAGACAACCTCCGGCATCAATAGCGATAGGCCTTTAATAACTCAGTTAAGCAGCTGTTCAACCATGTACAGAGCAATTTTTATGCGTTTCAATTAATTCCTTTGCTCCATTAAGTATGTAATGGGCGTAAAAAGAAACTTGCACCCACTCGCACTATCTCGGATTCGATTTCATATTTGTTTCGTGGTTTATGTATTTTAACAGTGGATTAAGTAATGCTATTGTCAGATGGTATTTTCAGAGCGGCGAGTACGTTTTGCCGTCGCGTTATCGCCGTTTATTGAGTAGCACGCAACGTTCTAATTTCAAATATAAGCTGGAATTCTGTGGAACCGCATGCGCCGCCGTACCGAACGACGCCGCCAGATAATCGGACTGGTTCCGATATCTCTAAAAAAGTAAAGAGTTCGCTTTAAAAAAAAATACAAATAACAGACGGGAAGTCAGGGCTGATAATCTGGCGAGGTAATGCAGTTTTGACTTTAATGTGTTAATAAAATTGTAACCGTTTTGTCGGCGAAAACGGGGCCGGCGTCTCTGTATCAATATTTATTAATAAAAAAATATACGTGAACACAAAATGGCGTCAGCGGCGGGCCATTTCAGCGCGTTTGGATTACTGCGACGCGGTTAGTTTATGGTGTTAAATACTTTGTACTCGGAACAGAGCAGAAGTAAAGATTGTGAGAAGATAAACATTTATTCGCGTTGGCGGCTTTATTACTTTGCATAACTCACCGAGGTTCGCCGTCATAATCTCCTGGTCCTTGGGTTTCTTTTTCCGGGGTCGTCCTTTTTGCCGAGGAGGGGGTGCCGTAGCTCCGTTGAAGAAGGGCCCTTTAGGAACGTCGGCTTCTACTCTGGAGAACTCGGGTGAGGGATAGGGAGGGTAGTGGGGCCCCGGCGGCGGCCCCGCGTACGGTCCTGGACACATCTGCGGAGGCCCTGGTACTGCCATATGGGGTCCATACTCCGGCATAGTCTCATAATGCAGCCTGCGAAGAACAAAAGAACTAGAATAATAGATAATATCATAATTACTGAGAATTTGTGAAACCCCTCTTAATATAAATAAATATAGGTAGATATTTTATTTAAAACACTGGGGACAGGTGATTGGTATTCGAACATTTGTTAATATTATTTTTGAGTTTATAGCTAATTCTACAAATCCCGAATAAATTGTATCTAAAACAAAAGCATCATGAATACAACTTGTAATTATTTTGTGCTGTGAACAAATTGGTCAACTCAGTTTATTTTTGCAATGTTACATGATTGACAAACATCAAATTTCTTATTAATAATAAAAATTATATGGTTACATTCAAACTGTTTATACACAAACTGCTTTCACAACATTCGTTTTTAGTCAATATGATCAATAGTATATCACTGATTTTTTGAACAGATAGATAGGTCTGTCTATACGTCTATTGCTTCGTTAGAGTTGGAAATTAATTCTAGTTGGGACAAGAAACGTGTGTAGCAACCTTATGGTGCTCAGTTTTCCGTGTCTACCCTACGAGGGAAGTGTAAGATAGGCAGGGAGTGTGAACATTTATATAGATAGAAGTAAATGTTTCTAACCTGCACTGTTGATCGTCAGTCTATTAATGTACTAAAACAGGGGATTTCCCAATGGATGGAATGAAATCGAATAGGGATAATGGACCATGATCTACCACGCGAGTGCATAGTTAATAAAGCAACGCGTCCTAGGACAAAGTTGCTCATCTTCCATATAACAGACCGAATGCGCTAACCAATCTACCAGCTCACCTGCAGTAAACAGCTGAATCTCTAATGCCGAAAGTGTCTCCTTTAGTGAGAGGCGTGTTACACAGTGCACAAGAGAAGCAGTGGACGTGGAACACGAGGTCACGTGCCCTCATCACCATTTCTGATGCTGATATCGGGGTGTTGCATCGCGCGCACCGTTTTGAACCGTACAGTCTGCAACAAAAGGTTAAAAGTCATTCAGGGGTCTAGAAATTATTTGTTACGCTATCTATACAGATATTTTAAGAGGTAAAAATATTGTTTGTTTGCATTGAATGGACTCCGAAACTACTGAACCTATTTTAAATATTTTTTTCACCTTCGAGAATAACTGAAGTATATAACATTAATTTCTATAACTAAGGCCGTCAGTAAGTACCGTACAGTGATAAAAAAGATCTATAATAGTAACCATTGTGACTGGTTGTACTATAACGGTTTTCAACAAAGCGATTTAATTCTATAATATTGAATGACCTCCCCGACAACATCAGATGATCTCCTTACAAATTCATCTTTAAACGGAAAGCTCACACTTTTCACTTGGAACGTTTATGAAGATTTGTATTTATTTACAGGTATAACATACATTTATGTTTATACGTATGAATTAAATATAAATGTATATGAATTCATTAGCTTAAGTAATATATTTATTAGTTAACTCTATACCGCCATCATGTTTTTCTGTTTTCCAAAGTTTAGCTATTAGCATTAAGTCCGCCTCTTGTACCAATACAATGGTCAATAAAGTTTGCTAAATAAATAAAATATTAAAGAGCACAATGTTTAAAACAAATCATTTATAAAACTAAGGGCTATTTTGGGGTTAACAACATTATTATAAAACTTATATGCACGCGTTAAAACGTTTTTGAAATTTCTATAGTATCGAATTTTGCTACTCGGATAGTAACTTACGCTGACGTTATAGGTTATAATTTACGTCTGTCATAAAGCATAAAACTGAAAATTACTACATGGGTTATAAATCCGACTTCCACTAATAGACAAAGTAATTCGAAAGGCCGATTTTGGTGTACGATTCTCGATAAGAGTTTTAAATAATTGACTAAAATAAGATATGAAAACAAATGGCATTAAATATTAACCTTAAAACCAATAATATCGTTAAAAAGATCTACGGAAGAAGAAGACAGTCTACGAAAGACAAATAAATTAATGTTATGAACGGTTATTCATTTTAATGTAGGCAATTGTAATTATTATAGTTCAAGTACACAAATTGATCAAATATGTTGTAACATTATAATAAATGTGTGTAAATTAAAGGGAACTAAATGAATTATGCATTTTATAATATCCCGGTATTTTATAACCATTTTACTAACATAATTTCACGACTTTGGGTATGTAGATGAATATGCCAACTTTGCTCGCACAAATACGTGCACGTATACATAAGAAACGAACCAACATTTTGGCCACTAGACACTTCAATCCATTTGTTATGATATCCATAGGAACCTATAGAAACCATAGAAACCAATCCTACATAGAAGCCTTTACGCTCAAATTATGAATACGTCTTGCAATAAAATGTCAAACTATCATCAGAATGAGACTTAGTCGTTTTTAGGGATCCATACCCAAAAACGGAACCCTACAACTTAGAATCCACTGTTCATCCGTCTATCCATTTGTCGCTAGGCTATATATGGACCGTGATAAAAACAGTCATATAAAATTAATATCTAATAGGGACTCTCATATAACATACATGTTGTTTCAATCGAACTTGGTCTATTTTTTACACGACACATTGAGTTACTGTGTTGTCATACACAGGGCCGGATTACTCACGTGCAAAAGTAGCAACCGCTACGGGTACCGCGCGTTGGGGGGCCCCGCGCCATCAGAGCCTCGCTATGATTCAGAGCTAATAAATTAATTTATCAAGTTGGTGTAAAAAAATGAAAGAAATAAAATAAGCCACGTTTCTGACTAGTTTAGTCATGTTTTCAACTGATTAATAAAACTCAAGTCAGAGATTGTGTTGTGTTTTTGGAAAGCAAAGGACGACTTTTCTCTTTCGGGGAAAGGGAGGGTCTTAAAAAAATTGCTACAGGCCCCACTCTGCCTTAATTCGGCACTTGTGTTACGACACGTTTATGGCACAATTATATAATAATTACACATATTTTAATTTGTACTTGCGCCGTGGGTGGACATGATGGACGTTCAGAAACTTTATAGTACAACAGTTGGAACCGGTTTCAAATACGATTTACTTATTTAATAAAGATCCTCTGTGAGATTAAAAATATGATACCTCAACAATACTGAATCATGTAGCATAAGAAATGTTAAGAAAATCAAATAAAAAATTAGTCTGAACCACTCGGTATTTGTTCCTGTTCCTCATCACCCTATGAACGTCCCCAGTGCTAAGGCATAGACCTGGGTGAAACATGCCTTCCGAAGCATGGGAAATTCCAGACAATAACATTTTGCTTCACCACTCCGTCAAGCTCCTAAATGGGAAAGTTTGTTTGTTTGCCCTTCTTTCTTATCACAACGCAACGGATCGTCTGTTACACTATGATTTTGTGTAAAGTTATTTGGGAGGTGGTTGGAACGCTGGAGAGTGTATCCTTACCACAGATTCTTTCCATAAGTGAGCTACTTTATATCGGAAGAAAAGCATATTCTTTATAGTTCAATACAGAATGGTGGGTGTTAACGAAAAGCTCGAGATGACGGCTTTTCGGTCACCCATCTATTTCAACGTATCGTTTAATATTATCGATTGATATTAATCACCACATATACCACTATCGAATTTACATTTCCACATAGGTGGAGACATGCGTACTGAAATGCGACGCCACCGATTGGCTATAAGACGTAAAGCTTACCCAGTTGATAGGCCGCTACCTTCAATTGTAATATCATTAATACTCCTTTTACGCTTCACGGTTTGATCGGGCATGTTTTTTGTCTAACCCTTTCAAACAGTACTGCATAAAACAAGTTGAGACATAAACCCAAAAATGATTATCGAAAGTTAGAATAAGCGAACCGACGTCCAATTTAATTAACATAGAAAATAAAAACATACTGTTGAATCGGATAGAGCAGTAAGGTCGAAAGCAGGTAATTAAAAGTGTCCTCGTGAGATGGGAGATAGTGAGCGAGTGAGACGTCCACTGTGGTCCGATTCCTTCTTTATCAAGATCGAAATGTTGAATTCCCTAAATAATGGAACGAGAGTATGGCCGACGATGTGTCCCAACCTATGGGGCTTATGATCTTGCAATGAGATCTTTCTCAATGATCATTCACATTTCCTTGGAGTGACAAAAGAGAAAAAAAATAGAATAACTTTTTTTTGTCGTATTAAATTCTTGCAGCTTCCAGAAATATATTGTTTTATATCACACATCAAAAATAACGTCTAAATAAAACCTCTTTGTTATTCCAATAGAAAATTTCATCTGAATTAAATCAGAGACTTTTATGTCATATACGTTTCTATTGCATTGTACATATTTTTTTAAGTTTGTTATAAATATAAACAAATTGTATGTTGTTTTAAACTTTCATGGTAATTAACATTAGAATAATTGTTAATTACGGATAAGATAAATGGTACCATTATTCAAATTTAAACAAATTGTATACATACATCTAATTCATTGAAATATCACTTTGAATCACATACGAGTATATTACAATACAGTAAATTCCAAAATCATTTTATTGGGGAATGTCAAAAGTACAATTTTTTATAGTAGGAACAAGTACATATCTGAAGAAAAGATTATATAGATATAAGTGGCCAGCCATATCGACTATTTATATTAAATATATTTAGAATAAGTCTAATACGGCGAAATGTAATAATAATAGTAAGCACTAATACAACTAACTGCACAACAAAAAAGAATTAAGAACGGATAAATCCGTCATTTCATTGTTTGCAATTTACAAAGCGAGAAATTCTTGAAAATCTTTAGGGAGATCAATTAAAAGAAAAATACGATACGCTGAATGTAAGGCGCTTTTTAAAATACTGTAAATTATACGCAAGAAAAGGGCGATTACCGAGTTATTACATGTTGTAATACTCTTCGACGAATAGATTCCTCGGCGTACATGGCCGCGGGCATCCTAGCGAAGAGGAATTTGACAGAAAACTATAAAAACTTTGAGGATAATAAGCTGTTAATAAGTCTGTGCGGTAGACGAACATTTCAGTGGTTGGTTATTCTTTGACCTTCAATTTTTCTGGGTAACGACCGATCGACACGTAATAGGAGATTTAATTTCCAATTCGAAATATAAAACCTTAGTAACATATTAATTGTTTTTTTTTTTTCACCACTATAATATATATGTTGCCATATTCGCATTAATCCTACTTTGAAATAGTTTTTTTTTTAACTATTCACCTCGTATTTTTTTAACTCAATGCATCAAAATAATAGATAGAGATTTATGAACGAATTAAATATTATTTGTTGTATCGGCGTCTGTCACTAAAAATAATTCTTGCAGGCAACCATTCAGTGAGTTCAACATTTAAGTAAGAGCGAGTGAAAATAATTTCATTATTTAATTAAAGAATATTTTTATAATCGTATGTCCATTATATTAAAGAATCTACAAAATCTCACAAATTCAATAAAATGTAAAGGGATTTTATTGAAATTTAAAATAAAATGAAATCAGCAAAGACAATTACCAGGAAATCTGGACAAGTAAAAGCACGCTTCAAACAGTGAAACTAAAGATAATAGATATGGAAACAACTAATAGAAATTAAAAAGCTTAATAATGAAAAAACACTTATCTAAAAGGCGGATAATATTTATGATTCACAGGTAACTCTCGCATCTATTTATGGCTCAGTTACACTGGTCGACGGTGTCTGTCTATGGAGCGCGGGCGACCTCTACAGGCTCATGTGATTGGTCAATAAAATAATAAAAGACCAATGAAAAAGGCGAGCCACAGAAACTGACCGCACCCCGTACAATATCGACGAGTGAAAATAAGTAATTGTGCCATAAATTATCGAAAACTACGTTACACCTCGTCGTTTAAGAAATTCGAATTTGACGAAATTTCTTTTCGGTGAAATATAATAGAGTTTCATGTTAATTTGTAGGAGTAATACGTAAGAAACAATATATGTATTAACTTACAAAAAAAAATA